TCGCTTTTCCTTAGTGAAGATTGAAAGTCAGGTGACCTGCATTGTAGTCTCAGGTCTGTTGTTGGGACTGTGGCTTCAGCATCTCCCCAGACTTTTCTGGGCTTCAGTTTCCCCATCTGGAGAACACAGTGATGCCCTCCCAGGTGATGTGCTTATCATGCAAAGCTGAGGTTTTGGGAGGTGCAAATGGTTACATGCCTGACTGACTGCAAGCTGTTGGCAGTTTGAGTCTTCCGAGAGCATGTGGCCAGGGAAGACCAGTGGTTGGGGAAGGACATCATGCTTGGAAGGGTGGAGTGACAGCGCGGGAAAGGAAGACCCTGGGTGAGATGGATTGACTCAGTAACTGGGGTAACAGGGGCAAGTGTGTCAGAGACAGACCGACTCAGGATAGGACAGAGTTCAGAGCTATTGTACATAAGGTCACTGTGAGTCACAGATGACGTGACAACACATAACAACAACAGCAGAACTACAGCAGAAGAAAGAGCTGGCGACCTCCTGAAAAATTAGCCTGTGGAAACTCCTGTAGCACAGTTCTGCACTGATACACGTGGTGTTGGTGTCAGGTAGTGTCCAATCAATGGCGACTGATTTTACAGGGCAAGGTTAGTACAGAACTGCGTTCAGCAAGTGCAAAAGGACAGAGAGTAAATATTTCAGGATGTAAAAGCCACAATGGCCTCTGTCCCACATATACATTGTTGCTTACTTTTTTGTGTGCAGTGCTTTACATTTGTAAAAAGTCACTCTTCGCTTAGTCACAGGCTGACCTTTGCCAGCTCTTGGTATAGATTACGCAATAGTACACCCAGGAGGGCGCTTCTTAAACGCCCTGGAGGACGAGTAAAATAACCCCAAGCTTGCTTCCAATAATTAGTCACCTTTCTCTTTGAACATATTTTGCAAAAGGAGAAGGGCTAATGGTCACAAAGGACTTTTTTAGTCTTTTTCATCAGTCATGTATTTGAAATGTCTGTTGTCGTCTGGAAGCTCCGAGGCACTCGGTACAAACTTACTGTGACAAGTGGAGAAAGATAACTCCTGACGTTCTGAGAATGAGGAAATGAGGATTTTATTTTTTTTCTTGGTTTCACGGGAAATATATTTATGACTCTATGTCATACTTGATATTTATGTATGTTTATATTTTTGTTTGTTCTTTTAAAATGTTTTGCTTTTTTATTGGTTTGCATGTAATAATCCATGTACATTGTGTTTCATTCATGTATGTTTTGCTTTATATCATCTTTCATTTACATTGTTTCATACAGTCACTCATATACATTATATTATATAGAATGAATTACTGTTGATCTATGCCTAATATTTTTTAAGATTTTTTATTTTTTTTATGCTGGTTTAGTTACAATGTTGATATATGTTGGTTTCCCCCTTTCCTTTACCCATCCCTCCCTCCCCCCATCAAACTGTGTGTGGCCCTATGATAAGCTCTCCCTTCCCCCGATCCTCATACTCTTTCTACAATAATGGTCTTACATGGTATTTGTCCCTCCCACGTTAGGTAGTAATTTATAAAATCATTGCTCCCACATGGCGCTACGTAGTATTTCACTGTGTGAATGTACCATAATTTCTCAATCCATTCCACTGTGGTTGGGCATCTGGACTGTTTCCATGTTCTTGCGATGGTGAATAACGCTGCTGTGAACATTGGTGTACAAGTCTCCATTTGTGCTTTGGTTCTTATTCTCTCAGGATATAGTCCATGTAGTGGAATAGCTAGGCTGTATGGAATTTCTATGCTCAGCTTTTTGAGGAAGTGCCAAACTGCCTTCCTCTGGAAGCTTTGCTGAGGACTCAATCCTTGCTCAGAAACACAGTAAAAGTCACAGTAAAGTGATGGTAACAGGGTTATCGTTAACAAGACTGTGAGGCTCGTGACGGATCAGGAGTGAGAGTTTCCTCCTACTTTCCACTGGGTCCTAGGAGCTGGAGCCCACTGTATTGGCACCTGCAGCAAAAACACAAAAGATATAAAACAAAGGGAGCTCTGGTGGCCTAGTGGCAAGACGCTGCACTGCAATCCCAGAGGTATGCGGTTCAAATCCACCAGATGCTCTGCTGGAGAAGGAGGGGGCAATCTCCTCCTGTACCAGTCAGATCTGATTTGACGGTACACATAAAAATAATACAATAAAAATTAAAAAAGAAAAAGACATAAAACAGCTCTGCCACATGGCAGCATGTGTCTACTTTTTAAGTAAATCTAGAAAAGGGATTTTTAAATGAGAGCTAATAAAACCATCAACTCCTTGCCTTCGAGTCAGAACTAATTCATAGCTGACCTTCTAGGGACTTTTCAGGAGAAAGTAAATGGCAAAGGAGGAGATTGGCCATCCTCCGCCCCCACTGATGGGTTTTAACTGCCAGAGATGGTGCTACTTTTGAGTTAACAGTGCAACTCCCTACAGACTACATGACTAGAACTCCCTCAAAAAACCCCCTTTAGGTTAATTTTTATATTTGATTGGACATTCCTACTTCCTTCTTCTTTTTGTTTTTGTAGAAGGGATAGAACCAGGATGCATTATTGTTGTTGCTATGTGCTGTCAAGTCACTTGTGACTCATAGTGACCCGATGTACAATAGC